TTTTGAGAAAATACGAAGAAAATGAAAAGATGGCAAATAGCTAAGAAAGAAAGTGAGGGAGGGAGAAAGAAGGAGGGAGAGTGTCATTCCGCTTCTTTCGAAACCGTGTGACAACGACAAGTTTGCATGGGACGAGAACTCTTTTCCAATCTTATATTACATTACGCACGTTCTCTAAAAACTTTTGGAGTTGACCACACATCCGAACGTAGTATTTTTTTCACCGAATGTCCATAGCCTTGGAAGTATCCATAATAAGCTCGTATTTTACAAAAATATGCGATTCTATATGTTAGACTTACTGAAGAGTTTAGACCCGAGACGTGTTTTGAAGAAAATCCATTGACCAACAAAACAAAATTCAGTATCATCTATAGAGATAGAATGAAGCAAGGGCACAGCATAAGAAAGAAATGAAGAAAACTGATGAAATGGACCACTTTGACAACATTGCAGTGGATCGGTGAACTTTCGAATCGAATGCTTATAAACCCAAAATTCACTTAATCAATACTCATTTAATGCGTGTGCGGTCGGGTTCACATGTTCCCAGCAATGTTATGAGCAGAAACGATTCTTTGTTTTCAGGTGATTCCCGTTCTTTTCTACTGTAAGTTGAAAACTACTTATTATCGTTTATTGCTGTTAACAACCTTTTCAAATCTACATGATTGCGAAGTTACTCTAATTCTTTTGATTATAGGAGACATTATGGGCATCCTGTTTCTGAACCCGTTGGGAAATATCTCTGTGGCAAAAGATGGAGGGATTCTCAGGCCTATGGTTGTCGCATCAATGAATAATGAAATTCGCACCTTTACTACCTGGAGGAGATTTTAACCAAACATTTGTGCAGCAATTCTTTATCAGTGGATTACTGTACCATAAATAGTGTATCTTGGGCAGGTGCGCACTGTTTGTGATGCCATAGCGAATTTGGTTCGGCAGGCCACCACGAGCCATTGTAAAAGGCTAGATATGCGCTCAATCACCTCCAACGATACTTAATGAAGTCGAATGCATGGCGCATCCCTCAGGGATTGATCAACACTGAGAGCTGTAGAGAGCTTTAACACCATTCCGGTAAGCTTTAAATGTGTTTCTGTGGGTTTAGAAATCACTCATTGGTAAAACTGGCTTTGCAAACATTCCACATGTTTTCCTTCCCACTTTTTCCAGTTTCTTACCGCTTCTCGCCATGTAGTTTGCTTATTACTTGCATTTTGTTACGTGTCAGCACGCCTTCCTTCTGAAGTTGGTGTATAATTTAGAATTATCAGTATGTTTTCGTTTATTTTATATATTGCTGGTTGGAAATTTGTCTTCATTGATTTGTCGAGAAAGCCGTGTCAATGCGTCCGCAGTCATCATCACATCCATTCATTAGGTTTATGAGATTCCAAGGAATTATTCACTAGTTGGCAGCTAGTACGCTTCCAGGATAATTACAATACCTAGCATTGGTTCACATTTTGTTGGCCTTCTGAACGGAAGGATAATACTCTACAGCTTCCGATCTCCGAAAACAGTGCAAATTAATGGCGGAGTACGAAAGGGGTCATTCTCTTTGCACACCATAAGCGAACACAACCTACTGTACAAATCTCAATCGTGCCGAAGATAATTGTAGACTTTGTAGATGGCTACCTGAATCAATCAATGATAAAAGAGATTGGGGATATCACTAGGGTCTATCAATATCTTGGTTTATTGATAACCTTACACTAGTCACAGAACTATATTGTGCTCAAAGTTTTGGTGTATATGCCATCTTGAGAATCGTGATGATCCGAGTCAAATGTATAGATTAGTTTTTCCTTGTGATATGGGTTTTCTTAAACCTTGTATAGGTACGAATCGAGTAGAGGGGCACACCGCAGGAATTGAGTGGCGTCGTCACCGTTATTCAAATTTTGTCATCATGCTCTGCCATTCTACAACTTACCTTACCTTATCGGAAAGGAAGCAGTATCATGCATTGCTATTGAAAAACTGCGGAAACTGGTGACAAGGAACTCGACATATATTTCTTTGTGAAAAGAATCGTCTTTGCTGGGCAACACTGTCAGGATGTTTTGTGAAATGTAACCGCGAGGTCAGTGAGACATGAGCACAACACGGAACTTCAGGTGGGTTTCGAACCCACAATTACCCCTACTGGGAGCTCAAGTGCTATCCATCACACCAAGCGAGCTCTTTGCTTTGCTCTTCTCTAAGCGAGTTTTTCACTCTAACGGTGCATTCAGCAAAAGCACTACTAGGAACAGCATTATTGAATAAGTCGGTCTCGACCGGAAACCGGTTCATGCCCTATACGATTCTCGCCGTTTCACGTTCAGTGCAATCCAGTCCAATTCATGAATAGCGATTTTTTTGCAGTTTCTATGGCGCTCTCAAACTGAAGTAGGAGTGGCCACCAATTTTCTCCTCGCTAAAAATTCCGTACATCATCAAACTGTTCGTCCAGGAATGTTTCTCTACAGTTCGGCACCGAATTGCAAAATCAACGCTAGTTGTTTTTGGCTTTTGTTTCTGAATTTCTATTCCACAGAGTCCGTTTCGGAATGATGAAGATTGTTCCCGTCCGAGTTCATTCACGTAACCACTAGAACCAACCGTTCATCCACTTAACTGTGTCAGTAATAAAACTAGTCTACATCCTATTCTTAAATAACTCACATCGAGTATTAATAAATAGGGCTAAGTGAAATACATATCCATAAATTGGGAGGGCTTTATAAAGTCTAATAATCAAGTAGCATGTAAAATATTTTCATACATTTTGTTGGCTTTCCTCTATGGAATGCAAAAAGGAGGCATCTGGACAATCTTATTGGAAGACATCGATCAGTAACTATAATACCTGTGTATGTCCACTTTCGAGTCGCTAAAATACTTATTGAATATCAGAAAAGAAGGACACACTGAGATAGTTGCTCTGCAGATCCTAGAAAACTGTGAAAGAAATCCTATAGTAGAAATAGCTCCTAAAAATACCTGGGAATCATTGTTTTCTATAGTAATGAACCAGACAAACATTTGTGCTTCTTTTCGTTCTTCAATTATTTTTGTGTTTTACCACTGACTCTTCAAGAGGGAGTTTCCTACACAGCACTTGGTAGTGATCGACGTTCTTCTGACATACTGGTAACAATGCAGGTCATATATGGATCCCAGCCCACTTGTTGTATTTTTAAGCATTAGCTCATTTCAGTTGCTATGTCTGTATTACTGTACCTATGGGTTTACGATTATTGTTATGATGACTATGACTTGCCATTTATATTATTATTGTTATTTTACAACGATATTCATATCGACGTCAAAAGAGGAGTTAGGCAAGGCGATACCATCTCGCCAAGATTCTTCACCGTCACCCTCCAGGACATCATGCGAACATTGGAATGGGATAACATGGGAGTGAAAATCGATGGTCAACAAATACACTATCTTCGTTTTGCTGATGATAGCCTTCTTATAACACCAAACATTACCCAGGCGGAACGATTACTTGGCCACTCTGATCTGGCCTGATCGGAAAATCAATATGATGAACGAATTAGCCCCAGAGTTGAGAAGGAAACGAACGGTTTGGCGAGTTTCAAAGAATATGGAGGATTTAGTGAAGAGAACAAAGAACGTCCGACTCTATGCTCACCTTTTCGACTCCATGATTTTTCGTGCCTTAACGCATGCGTTATGAACCTCGTCGATGCGTAAGCTGGATGAAAGATCATTCAGCTTTATCGAACTCATTCAGCTTTGTCGAACGCGCAGTCGAAAGACGACACTAAGAGTATCCTGTGTCACACAAGCAAGAGAAGGGATCCGAGGCTCCGACCTGTGTCGACGATCAAAAATCGAGGATGCCGTTCCCTACGCCAAACTGTGGAGGATAAGGTATGCCGAACACATAATGCGTATGAACGACAACCGATGGATAAGAGCTGTCAGTGACTGCTTGTTAAGCCTATTGCAGGAAGACCACCGGCGCGATTGTCAGAGGTCTTCATGAAAAGCGTAGAAGAAAGGCATAATGCTCAATGAGTCCCTAGAGCGAGCAGAGCTCACTGTGCTACTCTTGCACACAACACGGAGGAATGGGAAATTTACAGGCGCCTTGATTTAACTCAAGTCTCTCAACGATTGTCGAGACGACGGGAACAGGAACAAGAATTATTATTACAGTTTATGATTATTTACTGTGTTATTTTTCAAATAAGTTCGAAGAGTAAAAGTAAGAGGTGAAATTAAATAAAATTTGAAAGAAACCTCAATGTGTCAAATAAGCAATACCTGCATGGTTCACGAAGAACTTAGAAACATAACTTACTGTTTGCACATTAAAGTCGTATTTTGAATCGTTCTAGAATTTCTGCCTTTTATTTTCATGTTCTTGTACTTCAGTACTATGCTCTTGTAGTGTAGGTATATTCCAGAATGACAAGTAGTAACATGTCAGCTTCACAACCGGAAGAACTGTGCTTCGTTTGTCAGGACATCTCGACTGGTTATCACTACGGTGTACCGTCGTGTAATGGATGGTGATTTGTTAGCCTCTATTCTTCGTGAAGGCTGTTTTGATTGAGTATTTAAAACGATTTACGTTGTGTTTCTCGACATAATAGTGCTAATCAATCGATAACGTTAATCGATTGGTTTATGTTCGAAAAATTTGCCGTATTCGATCTAATATTTCCACTGTTTGAACCGAAAATTTGGTACATCATTCTTGATTCGATCGATCAACATGTCTTCCGATAGCGATACCTCAGATTTAGTATGAAACTTGTTAGATTTTGAACCCTTTTCATATTTTCCCATTTTAACATATCTATGAAGGCTTATTAGGAAGAGGTAGTGCAGTGACAGTGATGGCGATCATCACGAGTGCGGTACTGGTTCGACCTCGCCCGGGTACACTAAGCTTCTCATCCCTCTGGGCTCAGGAAATGAACACCAGACTTGTCTAGAAACAGTTCAACCCTTGCAACACAAGTGGTAATGCACTAATCCAGGTATCCCAGGAATCCGAGAGAATCGATTCCAGCAGCATTCAACAAAACGGAGAAGGCAGCAATTTTCAAGCAACAGCCAAACCCACACAGGTAAAGTTAAAAACTTTCGTGGATGGCAGATTCTTGGAAGCGAATTGAGTGCAAGAAATGGCGGAATCTGCACAGATGATGTGAAGACGGTTCATGTGAAAAAATAGGAACTGTTCTGGTTTTCTTATATCATACTCAATAGGTGAGGTAGGATAATCAACGGAATCGTTGCAGTTCGTCTTGGAAGAATCCTAGTGACGATGCAGCGATGAGCTTCTGATCTTAACGGCAAGCGAGTACCCGTTTTGAAGATATTGGTTGCTCCATACAAAGCATTCTTGGAATTTTAGTGAAAGCCAAGTTCGATCAGCAATCAACATGCCAGTGAAGAAACAACTTGATACACTTTCCAGTTATCGAATCAAACCCACCCACTATCTCGGTTATCACGGACAATACTGGATGACATGGAAAGGAATGGGAGAAGTTCCTGAGCTCCGAACGTTATGTTATGATGAGTCCAATGTTTAACTAAATGTGTACCTACTTCAACTAAAAAGTTTCTCTCATCCTGGGCAATGATCTTGAGTTCTTCATGATTTCATGTACTCTTAACGTTCTTCCTTTCCTCTTCCCATCCCGCCCTTTCGAAGGGCTTCGAAAAATTGGTAAATACTCATAATTGCACGAGGGCACGGGAATTTTTAGTAAAGGGTGAAAGATTTTCTTGGTTAAATGCATCAAGGCCAGATTCTTAACCTTGTTTAATTGGAAGCATGACTTTGCTGGTAATTAAGAAATTCCATGCATTTGATTACTTAATTTCAGTACTTTACGTACAAAACTTATGTGGCCAACATTTACGCCTTACATTTAAGCAAGACGTTCTTCCGACGAACGATCATGAAAAATCAAAATTTTGTATGTCAGAACGCAGGGAGGTGTCCCGTCGACAAGAGTAAGCGTACTTTTTTCGCTGAGTTGTGAATTAGTTGTCTGAGGACGTTGAATTCATTTTACTCTCACTGAAGGTATTCGATGTGCCTGCCGTCATTGTCGATTTGAAAAGTGCGTACAGGTTGGAATGGACAGGAATGGTTAGTATCATAGTGCTCACTTGTTTCTAGCCTATAAATTCATTTTTCTGTTGGGTTCTTTTTTTACTTGACAAAACGTTAGCTATCCAACAAAATCGTGATCCCATCGGCTACACGAAACGAACACGACGGTATCCACGAATTAGACGGCTAGAAAGCTCCGAAGAATGTCTTCCAAAGCGCGAAGTTCTGGTGAGTTTCCGTAATTTTTTGTATCCTGATATGTGAGTGACACATCTTCATGACTTTTGAGAATTTAAAGGCAATTCGCATCTCAATATGGTATAGCGAGGTAGGTGTTTTGTGGTCATCATTACGCAGAATGAGGTCACCATCTCTTGAGCATCAGAAGTGGATTTCCATCTTGCGTCTAAATGTCTTCCAGGACGACTGCAATTCTCTAATAGGTTACCCTACCCTACCTAATACCCTTGATTGGAATTCCTGATTCCTAATTTTCCTCACCGCGGTGGGATAAGAGGCTTGCTGAGCTCAGAGTGGGCTCGGATATCAATTGCACTGGTAGTGAATGACATCGTTACTGCTTAGTTATCCGCATTCTGTGCACTTTTATAGCGAACAGTGTTATTCTTGTACATCCACAAGTTAATTCTGCTGCTTTTGTGCATATCGCATGCAATACCCTAATGTTGACTTAGAGGGTTACATTGTCAAAGGCCTTAAGCCCAGTGAAGTTGATCTATTAAAGAACTTTAACAAAACGATTAATTGAAATTTTACCGGATTACTATTGAGGGTACCATCGCTACTAATAAATTCTAGTTTTCAGACTTCGAACGACACGACCGAAGACGCATTTTTGATGTATTTGACTCGCATAGAGCAATTGGCTCAAATCTTACGATTAAGTCAGTTCGCTTCCACCAATAACCTTATTGATGCCGTCAGTGCACCGTGTCTTCTATTCGATGAAGAATTCATGGCGAGTAACTCACAGGTGGTGCGTTCTCTTCCTTTTCTGTTTAACACACTGACTTTATTGACCGTATTGGATTTACTCAACCAGGAATTGTTACGATCACGTAAATAGTCACCAATTCATCAGAGTGACGAACCAATCCGATAGGCAGTGAAGTGTTTTTAAATGATTATGCACACATGGAGAGATTAGAGGAACTCCTACAAAGTCATGACGATCCGAACGTAATAGCGTTATGTTCGCTCTATTCATAGAACCATCGAAAGCGAAGACCACTGAATGAATACTGATTACAGTAAGTGGCGATAGAGATGGAATTCACTGCCAAAATAAGCTGTCAAACAGAATTTCTAATCCAAATATTTAATTGTAGTATTGATTGCATTCAAATATCTGGATACTCTCACCATCGAAAGGACTAACTGGGATATGTGGAAAACTTTAATGGATATTCTAGTTCTTCTCTGTTTTCGGTATAGAGAATCCTATCTCATGAAGAATGAATAGTACCATCTTCATCATCTACACATTTGGTCATTGGTTTGATGTTGCGCCACTGGGTGACCAAGATTTCCGTCCCTCGAAGATAGACAGATGTACCAGACCAGTCTGGGAAGATAGGAGCACTGACTCGACACATTGATAGGCCACCGCGAGTCATTGTAAAGGCCAGAAATGCATTCAATCATCCTTGATGATGCTCTTGTTGAAGTCTAATGCATGGCACATCCCTCAGAGATTGATCAATGGCGAGAGCTTCGTTCTTTATTCACCCATTGTGTGCATTTCGGTTCCAACACTACGCATCGGTCTATCACGATTCTGCAAGTGATGATGATTTAGGGTTTATCATCATTTTCCACCATGTGCATCCATAGACACTGCCAACTCCCATTTTTACGCATAAATTTTTGTTAAAATTACTATTGAACGTTCAAAAGTGGATACGAATCTTGCCAAGTTAATCGCTTTGGAAATGCATGACCTGACTTTTTCACATGTTCATCCAGTTGATCGCACTAAGCGCCAAACCGGCGATGGGAGCTAAATTATCACAGCGGACCCGATAAGCCACTCGAATATTTTAATGCTGGTTTGTACACTGAAGACATTTGAAAGGTGAGAGCATAGAGTATTCGTGAACTTACTTTTCAGGCACCACAACATACATTTACCAAACTCACCTATGCTACACAATCGGATTACCAGTATTGGCACGAGCGCGATTGGTTTGTGATGATTGAGTGGGCAAAAGCAATTCCAACGTATGAGCAACTGGCAGTAGTTAACAAAGTAAGAAGGGTTTTATATTACAATTTTAGTGTTGCTTACTACTCAATTTAAGGCAGTCTAGGATTTTTTGAAAGGGCAACACCATCTTGGATTCTTAGTGGGCCACTTGAAAAGTAACGATTCGAACTGCACTGGGATTACACTGGGATTTATGGGATCGAACACTCGTTCGTTAGCGACACTTCAGAGCGTCATTTATTTCGATCATAATCAAATTATAGTTCGGTTCTTTCCAGTTTCAACTTCGTGAGTACCTTCACGTCCTGTCTTCACGAGTCATACCAAAAATGCATCTTTGTATGGCCCATTTTGCTGTTCTTTACCTCCAACTGTCTTTCGGTATTCTTGTCATGTGACCGTTTCGTCCAATTTTAGCTTTCAGTGTATAGTCCCTTACATGAAAAAAGAAAAGTTATTTTCGCAAAGTAGAAGGCGCATTTTTGGCGACGGAGTAGAGCCCATCATGATGGCACTGGAGAAATGTCAAGAAACGATCCATATTTTGTTTGTGCGATTTTCGTGATTCTTTATATGAGTTGCCCCATTAGGGTCATGCGCATGTTCAGTGATCATATCCTTTTTTCTCAAGGAATTAATTTCTCTGGAGGAAATGAAATGTACACGAGAATCTAGCAATACGGTTCTCATTGTCTCTTATATCCTCTATTCCTTATTTCCCAACCTCCTATTCACTTTCACTAGTCTTCCCTAACGTAGTTTTGAAATCTCCGGTAATCTACTTATGGTACTTTTTTATTTATATGATCTTATAAATTGATCTCCTTTAGCTGATGCAAGGTTGGTATCGGTCTTCGTTGTCGTTATCGTTGTTGTTGGTGTTGTTGGTCGATTGCTGACGTTTCGGCGATCTCGTCTTTTTCAAAGCCTGGACGTATTTTATATTAGAATACTTTAATTATTCGGTGGAAAAAAGGCTAAAGTATTGAGGATCAGACTTTTAAATAGATGGTGGGTTAAGATGCTGCGGTCAAATGTACTTCTACGCCATATTGAACAGAAAGGCTACTCACCGTGATGTTACGAGTGGGGCTGGCCGCACGCGTTGTTCACGTGGAGTCGCGAGCGAGGCGCACCGCGGGGCCAAAATATCATTTTGAAATATGGAACCAGGTTACGTGTGATAGTGAGGCATTTGTCTTTCCGGTTCATCTTCGGATTTTTGAAATTTATCCAAAACGCCTCAAGAGTTTTGCACGTTGGTGTTTTCGATCCCTGCGCTAAGATCCGCACAGTCACTTCAAAATCATCGTCGCTGTGCCTTTGTGCCCAATGCGTGCCTAGAGAAGTGTTTTGATGAATTTTAACTTTCCCATCTAGACGTTCTTTTATGCGGACACAAGGCGGTCTACCCGTTTCCCCAATATATTCCTCACCGCATGCATTACATGAGATCAAGTATATTATACCTGAACTCATTCAATCCCCGTCTCTCCCGTTACGACAGATCATACAGTTTTCTGAGCTGCACAAACGATCATAGAGACGGTTGCGAACTAACTGGTGGCGTAGAGTAATGGGTGGGATTTCAATAATTGTTACGTAATTTTCAAGACCACTTTTTCTTAAGCATCTCTTAATGGCGTTAATTACTTCATTTGATATGAAGGATAGCTTAAAAGGGATCTTACTCACGTCCGAAATATTATTTTGGGGAAGTACCCTACGTTTTTGTCTAACCCGTGTGGCTTCTACCTCGTAGCCATCGGAAATGGCTATTTTTCGTGCCAGGTTTTGCCATTCTTTCCTTTCCTCTTCTCCTGTACACAATTTTTTAGCCGTACGGTATATGTTTTTGATAAATGCTTTTTTCACGTGTGAAGGTTGAGAGGAGAGGTAGTGAACTAGTATGTTTTTACTAATTGGCTTACGATGCCATTTTGTTATAGAACCACTTTCTGAGAGCTTTATTTGGATGTTTAAGACTGCGAGCCAGTCTTTGGTTGGTTTTTCTCGTATAAATTTTATATACTCTGACTGTCCGTTTAACAATTCAAAGCACTCATCCATCTATTCTTGTGTGGAACAGACGATGAAGCAGTCGTCTATGTATCGACAGTAGAGTAAGGGTCGGCGATCGAGAACAGGAGCTTCCACCTTAGACATGAAAGCGATGGCAAAGCTTGGTGCTAAACGCCGTCCCATGGCGAACCCTCTAATTTGTGCAAAGCATTTTCCAGACCACCTGAGAATTGAACAACTAGGACACCGTTTTAAGAGAGTCATTAGTTGCGCAATCGGCAAGCCGTGCATTTTTATTTTCTTTTCATGCTCTACGAGCAACTCGAGAATGGCTTGCATTGCGGAGCCATTCGACACGTTGGTATAAAGTGAAGTAACATCGAATGACTCCATTACATGCGTGCTGTTTGGTTGGGCACACCTTTATCGCACCTGTTATTCTAATACGCATGCGGTGAGGAAGATATTGGGGAGACGGGTAGACCACTTTGTGCCTGCATAAAAGAACATCTAGATGGAAAAGTTAGTCAAAACACTCCACTAGGTACGAATAAGGCACAATAGCACAACGGCGATGATTTTGAAGTGACTGTGCAGATCCTAGCGCAGGAATCGAAAACACCAACGTGCAAAACTCTTGAGGCGTTTTGGATATATTTCAAAAATCCAAAGATGAACCCGAAAGACGAATGCCTCACTATTACACGTGACCTGGTTCCCTATTTCGAAATGATATTTTGACCCCGCGGTGCGCCTCGCTCGCGACCCCACGTGAGCAACGACTGGGCCGGTCCCACTCGTAACATCACTGTGAGTAGCCTTTCTGTTCAATATGACATAGAACTACATTTGACCGTAGCATCCTAACTCACCATCTATTTAATTGCACCGAATAATTAAAGTACTCCAATACAAAATACGTCCAGGCTCTCAGGAAAGCGAAATCGCCGAAACGTCAGCCATCGACCAACAAAACCAACAACAAGAACAACGACAAGGAACACCTATACCAACCTCGCATTAGCTAAAGGAGATCAATTTATAAGATCATATAAATAAATACATCAACTATCTATACCGAGGTTTATAGAGAGCCGGTCTTTTGAGTTACTTATGATACCGTTTCTTCTATAATCTTCGCATCCTCTAGCTTATGAAAGAAAGCATCCAGTTTGTTTCCATAAGTAGCTCATCAATAGCAGGTAATGGTAAAAGAGACGAAAAAGTATAAAGCTCTCGGCATTGATCAATCCTTGAGGAATGCGCCATGCATTCGACTTCATTAAGGATCGTTGGAGGTGATCGAATGCATATCTGGTCTTTCCTGCTCTTCGTCCTCTACATGGTGATTCGACCAACTATTTACCGCCTCATCGCGGCTGGGAAGATTCCTGGGTGTTGGGCTGCACTGTACAGAGGAGGCATTCATCTCCCCAGCAGTCTTTCTACTCTGAAAAAGAGTCCGGCGTTCTCATCAGGAAGCCCAGCTAAGAGTGAAGCAATACCAGGATCCACCACCGTCCTGATATCAGTTTAGTTGCATACTGTCAAATCTCCCTCTGATCCACAAGGAGACGGCGACTGCCTGTTGTGGTGACTTCTTGGGGCAGACTTTGGCTAAGTTGACCTCGAAACTCCAGGGAACCACAAACCAGCAAGATTCTGAAAAAGTGGAAATTTTGTTGGGGTCCACTCAACGAGTGAGGATGGGCCATCTTAGTATCCAAGTATCCAAGTACATGATGATTATTTGAAAGCCGATGTGGTTTTCAGTATTTAAAACACCGTAAGGTTCGGGAGGAGAACAGAGTTCTTAGATTAGTATGTACCCGAAAAGAAACAGTGCCAAAACAGAGAATAATAAAGCTTGTTGTTCTGATTCAGTTCAAATGACACTCTATGCGTCTCGACACTTTATGGTCGTTTCGTTGAGGGTGATTTGCTGCTAGTCGTGTTATTTTTCTTTCAGTAGAGTCTTGCCAGGCCTTTGCCATGTTGTCACTATAGATAGTCGATGGTCCTACTCATTTCTTTTAGCTCTGCTGCTCCTTTTATGGATGAACCTTTAAATATCCGTGATGAAATATATGCTTATTTTCCTATTTTCGTTTCCACATCAATCGTTGATGGAAACGAACTTTCTTATGAAAGTGATTAAGTGGTATTTCCAGTTAGCAATTTTGCGCCACTCGGCAATCACCTATCCGAGTCTTATTCACACGTTTTTTTCACCCGACCATGGTCCCGACACGATCGTCTTTCCAAACGGAGCGTTTTTTGATAGAACTATCGAGCCATCAAGGTGAGTCCAGTTTTTCACATGGATTACTAATGAATCTATGATCTCATGAATATGTGAAGTTCTTGAACCAGTTACGGTGTGAAGCAACCACTTTGCTTTCAGTAAGTGGATACATATGATAAAAAACCTAGTTTTCTAGCAATCTTAACGAAAACACCAGGAGAAAACTACCTCTTCAAACGTTATCTCGTTCTATTACGTAGAGGGCGCGTGTGGCGCGGTGGTCGGAGCAGCCCTGCAACACACACGTGGATCGATCCTCGCGCCCATGGTCCACCAAGCCTACCATCGCTCCTAGGTCGGCAAATTGGTGCTAGACTTGTCTGAGGGGATTGCTGCACTAGTTCGATATATCGGTGGGCCACCGCGAGTCATTGTAAAGACCAGATATGCATTCAATCATCTCCAACGATGCTTAATGAAGTCGAATACATGGCGCATCCCTTAGGGATTGATCAATGCCGAGAGTTTCATGGTTTATCCCTTATTACGTAAAGATGAAAGAACAAAATGTTGAAGCATAAAATATTACGAAAATTAAAAGGGCTCTATAAAATGTATTATATTGTGAATAGGGTACGCAAAGTATAGTTTGAAGCAATATTTAACACGAAATTTAAGAACGCTAAATTTTGAATGTGGCGGATGATTTGAAGACTCATTTCGAATACTTACAGACCAGTAGGTTTCAACCGGAAGAAGTACCAAATGCTCGATCAGTTGTTGAAACCGATGCGTGAAATGCGGATCGACACCAGCGAATTCGCTGCCTTCAAAACCATTTTCTTCCTTAATCCAGGCAGCGTATTTCTTTATTTACACATTTACAACGCCTATACAGATAGAGACAATTTTCTTCGCATCTGTGAGCCTAGCTATGAGTAGAAACATGCCAACGCAGTACCTAGCGAGGTATTAGTGAGTACCCTTCCAAAAAGAGTAAAATAATGGATTCCTTACGAAAGACTGATGTCTTCGCCCCTGTCAAGCGACCGTCGCCCACCAATGTGGCGCTAAAGCACGGCACAACTGGCTGAACATAATGATCGTTCAGTAACTTAACCACCGGAAATACATATGACCTTATTCATTATGTCTGTCCATCTACCTCTAGCTTTTTTTGAGTTGTCTATTTGTGTGTCTAACAATAGCCCTTACTGCGGAAAAATGGAAATACAGAAAGCCGACTTAATCAATGGTCGACGAATCGATTGTCCACATTATCAAAAATCTTCTGTTATATAATTCTGCTCTTTCACTTCTACAGCCTTCTCTTTTCCCTTTTAGCTCCCATTTTATCTTCTCATAATACGACTGGCTCACACTAGTTTCACTTCCGATGCATGCTAGACTGGTTTGAAGACGTTTCATCGATGTACGGCGCTGAATTATGATGGACCACGACATGCTCAATTGGTCATCAGGAAATTTTTTCTCCGTTTCCGTGGTTGTGCCATAACTGAAGCTTTAACCAGCATTGTTATCACTACTACAACGTAGAGTCCCAAGATCACTAGGTCAGTAAGGTCTCGAATAGGAGACCAGAATCAACTAGCTGTTTAGCGGCTACTTTTAGATGTCCAATACACTGCCACGTCCTCTGCACTGAACGACTTATATTAACAAGTTTAACAGTGTTACAATAAACATCTTGCAATAAATTGTAGTGCGCGGGAGGTGAAGAAGGTAGTTAACTTGATTGTGAAATACTTATTAACTTTTTTCCTCATGCTAAGCATTTTCCAAGCACTAGATGAATTTTCTAACTGGTGCCAAGTCCCGGTTTCTTTTCTGAAAGCTATTCGTCCATCGTCACTGCTTCAAGAGTGTATTTTAAGAATAGGACAGTGAACTGGGAACGAGCATCCTTGTTTTGCAGTTCCAGCGATGATACTTTCTGTTGTACGATCGGAAACAGCTTCGCAAGTTATTGGTGTTTGGTCTCTTTTCTATTAAAACAATACAGTTTAAGAGACGTGCTACATGACGTTTCGTTTCGATCGCTCCTAATTTAAACTATTCTCCTCACTGTTTAAGCAGCGCTGCTCTTCATAATGTGGAGAGGCGTCTAAATTTGCATGAAATGACCGACTCTCGTGACAATTTATATTAAATGCGGCAAATCTGTTTCTTCTGTTCAGAAACTGATTTCCTGTTCAATCATAGATTGCTTGACTTCTTTTGTACGTTTTTTGAAACTACAGATGCCTTGTATTGTTCTACATAAGGGCACTTGTGGTGCAGTGATCGGAGGCGCCCTGCAGTACAGATGAGGTCGATTCCCGCGTCCCTGGCCCATCAAGCCCTCCGTTCCTCCGGGGTCGGAAAATTGGTACCAAACTTGTCTGGGAGGATAACAGCACTGGCTCGATACATCGATAGGCCACTGCGAGTTATTGTAAAGACTAGATATACAGGGTCAACTTTCTACTAACCTCATTGGAATATGAATGTGCCGTTTTCTTGTTCATCAATCGCGAGGTTTTTAAACAGCATACATTTACTTCCACAGAAAAACACAATACAATACAACACTAGCTGACGTTTATCGCCTTCTTCAGAGCCCCTTTTTCGTGACTTCCAATGAGGAAGTTTAGAACAGCTGATTGCGTTTTTCTATGGAAGTAAACGTATGCTGTTTAAAAACCTCGCGATTGCTGAACAAGAAAACGACACACTAGGTATACATTCAGTCACTTCTAAGGATGTTTAATGAAGTTAAATGCATGGCGCATCCCTAAGGAATTGATCAACGTCAACAGCTTTCTACTTTTATCCTTTTTGTCGTTCTATGTAAAGGACCTTGTCTTCGACCGTTGTCAGTATTCATAGAGTGTCTTCACTATTGAAAATTTCGTAGTAGATTATATAAAATAAAGATCCCGGTTAAATTCAGCTTAGTTACTCCGGTTTTCTTGAGACGCCGAATTCCTCAGTATTAGTTACCGTGTGCTACATGAAAACCTATCGACACATCAAAAGCATTTTCATCACAATGAGGCGATAAGCGTCGAGAATCTGGATCGAAGATCATGAGCAAACAAAAGAGAATAGCTTTTAGATGCTGATGACGTGGATGAATCTTCAAGACTGATACTAAGCAAAGGACGAAGCTCGGTTACAAATGCGCTGTATCGTTATATGTTACGAAAGCGAGATGCCGAAGAAGCTGGAGACAGGTGAGAAGACAGCCGTATGAATCCAATCCTGTGATTTTCTTTTCCAACCTCACGAACTAATTCAAGCAAGCCTTGGAAAAAGTGATAGAACGTACGCGTTTACTGTCGAAACTTTATCTATGCATGTGTAATTGTATCTTTTGGAAAAGAATAGAACACGTTTCCAACTAGTTAAAGAACCTTGATAGCTGACATGGTTCAAAAATCGAAGAAAAAACTATCAGTTTTTGGCAGTAATGGATGGAAAACTAGCAGAGAGAGGGGCGATTCGAAGGACCCGCACGGTGTGGTGGTGAATGCGTTATTCCTCGGAAAGGACAATGACGCGTTCGTTCCACACCGCAGATACCTGCGGTCTGGAGCTTTTCAAATGTCTCAGCACCATTGCGGTTGTACTAGTCTTTTTAATAGGAAGTTTTGAATTCCAACATATGACTGTGGTAACACTATGACTAGTCCTATAATACACGTAATACATCTACTTTAATAAAATTCGTAGCACTTTTTTCAGATTCGGCCGCCTCCTACTACTTGGTACGGTGCTGGCAACCATAGCGGTAGAAATGAAAGAAGCAGTGCTGATGGCGGACTTCTTTGATCAAATTACATTTAGCACGTTCGCTAAGCAGTTACTATTCGGCATAAAGAGCGAATAATGATGCGGAAATATTGGGGAAAAGTGGAGTTTTTTCTAGAATATTGAAAAATCATTTCTAGACAACTTACCTAAAAGAGGTCAGCGGTGCTACTTGCAAAAATGGCCCTAGTTGACTCATATATAGCTTAAGATAAGCCCTAAACATTTTTGAAGTCTAAAAGCTTAGAAACCTTAAGAGACATTAAACCCCTTAAACACCATAAACCTTAACCTTAGTAAGCTTAAAAAAAGAAAAATTGTTGGACTCGCTGTCGTTGTGCGACTTTGAGTCGCAAGGCAGCGAAGTTCCTTCTGATCCAGAGAGATCGGCGACTGTTTTTGGTGACCTAGCAACAACGGGTACTCGAAATTACAGGGAAATCAATGGTTCAACCAGTACCCAGCATCTTAATGAGGGGCAGAAACGACGGATCGACAGTAAGCAATTATATGAACAGTCAACAGGACAACGATACGAGAGAGGAATGCTGGGACACACACGGCATGTGAAGATAGGCGATCTCAGTAGGACGAGATTCTGATTCCTAGAAACATATACAATAATTGTTAGGATTCCCTTAAAGAAAGATTTTGTTCGAACTTTCTAGACACTTGGGTTGACCGTGAACCGAAGATGTGACAAACAGATGGTCAGAACGACTTAACTCGAATGGAGGTTTTGAGAAGTACTGTTTTATTGAATTTAGTAATGTCGCATTGGTAATGACGATGATGATATGTTACGACAAGAAAAAACTGTGTAAAAATGGCTACATAGAAACCGGCATTTTCGTTGTCGTCCAAAAAAGGCCTTGAACACACGAAGAAACGTTCCCTATGGTAGGAAGCGATTGATGTGTTAAAAATAGTGAATCCACATCGGCCAACTAGTATTTCTGCAAACTGTTCTGCAGAACTACTCAGACGATATTAGTTTGCCATAATTGAATCTCTTCACATTGTTCAAAACAAGAAGAAAAAGTCAGAAATACTATTTTACTGTCTCTGAATAAAGTGTACAAGTAAAAAAGCTAAAGCATTCGGCGTTGATCAATCCCGAGGGATACTGCACGCATTCGACTTCATTAAGCATCGTTGGAGGTGATTGAACGAATATCTTTACAATTACTCGCGGTAGCCTACCAAAGTATCGAGCCAATATTGCTATCCTTCCAGACAAGTCTGGTACCAATTTGCTGAACCTGAATGGATGGGAGGCTTGGTGGGCCAAGGGCGCGGAGATCGATTCCACGTGTGTGCCGTAGTGGCGCCTCCAACCACTGCGCCACACGCGCTCCTATAAAGCACATAAGTAAACACATCAAATGCTTCCAATGATTTCGATCCATGAAAGGAAGAACAGAGTGTACAGTAATTCAACTGAAAATTTAAAACAATTACAGAGGCCACAGAAAGTAATCTAGCATTATTTATACATAGCCATAAAAAAAAAACACAAAGTGTCCTACGGTTTACTAAGCAACAGAGAAGGAAACCCACGGTCTATTACAGGCAAACCGGCAAAGCAGAAAGCCGTGTCAGGGATTCTGTCTGTGAATGATTTTTCATCGGCTGGCTCATGAAGTTCGTGGTTGGGGGCGAATAAGCAAACACACACATATGGATGTATATATATATATATATATATATATGTGAATATATACGTGTACACTTATACGTGAATCGCATATTGTAAATCGTTTAAAGATTTGAGACTAAAGTTAAGAAGAAAAACTCTATTGGCCAAAAGCGAGAATATGAATGATGCCGCATATCGATGGAATTGATTGGAGTGGTGCGGTGCTATGAATCTGATGTGTTCCGTTCTTTGCGAAGACGCCTAGTATCTCGACCGTTTTGTTGACCATCTCTCAGTGCCTTCACCAAATGGGCCACCTTGAATAATGTTAATTGATGCAGCACAAAGGATACAAGGAAGAAGAGCTCGGCATTGATCAGTCCCTGAAAAATACGTTACGCATTCGACTTCACCAACCATTGTAGCGGCCACTGAATGCATATCTGGCTTAGCCTGCGACTTGCCGATTGCCAGGCGATGTATCGAGTCAGTGTTGATATCCTGCCATATGGACTCTAGTACCGATTCATCAACCTAGAAAGGATGAATAGATTAATAGGTTTGGAGGCTGGGTCGAACCACGGACCAGGTGTGTATTGCAAGGCACCTCTAAGGATTGCGCTACACGTGCCCGTTGATCCAGTTTCGTCTCAGTCACCAATCAATCCAGATGTGTCGCGACTGCAAGCCATAATTGCCATTTGAACGGCTTGACCATCCTATTGTTTCACACTTTCAAATGTCTGAAATCTTCACTTAAATGGAATAACTAAATGTTGTAATCGTTTTATTTCAAACGTCCATTTGTTCTGTCATCATACTGTTTGTAAAGCCTTTATGAACAACACTGCACCTTACAGTCAATTCTCAATGCATTCAATTACAATCTGTACATAATAAACTGTTTTCGAGACCATTGAACTCCTTATTACAAGTAGCTTTCTACAGTATTTCATAGTCCTAAATTTTATCCCCTTAACTCATTAGAATAGGGGCGAGTGTGGCGCAGTGGTCGTAAGTGCTCTGCAACAGGCACATGGGATTGATCCCCGCTCCTATAGCCCAGCCCATCCCTCCGAGGTCGTTAGGTTGGTACCAGGCTTGTCTAGGAAGGTAGCCATGAGGCAACAGTGGGTCGGTACATCGGTAGGCCATCGCGGGTCATTGTAAAGGCCAAATGTGTATCCAATCACCTCCACACGATGCTTGATGAGGTGGAATGCATGGTGCATCCCTAAGGGATTAATCAACGCCGAGAGCTTTATCCTTTATCGTTTTATTAACTCATTAGAGTGAATTCACACTTGCTGTTCTATTCACTATGTTAATCCATCTATCTATACGATTCCAGCTAAATCGGGCTACGGCTAAAAGCTTCCAAAAAATTAAGAAAAATAGGTCATTGTTATTGCTTATCTTATCGTTAAGGTATGACCGTGAAAGTGAAAGCTATAAGCAATGATCTGTGCTCAAGTATTTTGTCTAGAATAGAAAATTATTCGCACGACTCTTATTGAACACTGAAAACAATTCCACCCAAGAATTCAGTTCCAGAATATATTTCCACGATGATTTGACGATGATTCGAGAAGTGTTACTACTAATGATACTGGGTCAAGGTTGGACGAGACCACAGGTGGAGTTGTGGATACTAAATTTTTTTTTGTTTTTCTTTAAAATTCACCTAATAGTACCGTGCTGTATAATGCAATAAGACAATACTCGCACACAAACACACTTTCCCTAATCTCCAAATCAAGGCCTTATAAGATCGGTTACCAATTTCTCCTCTATGTCTTAAGGGAACAAGTCATGTTTTGGTAAATTCCAGCATTATAAGATTTCTACCACTTCCTTGATGTTAAACAAAGTGAGGTCTACGTAAGCGTCAATAGGGTTTATCCTACTTCGTCTAGGGATTCACAAACAGATCCTTCCCTATCATTTTTACTCATTGTATACAAAATCAAACGTCGACGCTGGATGCACACTTAGTGCTTAGGAGAATTTATATGCAGTACACTGATATGGTGAAATATGAAAAAGCTTCAAAATAATGAAATGAGATGACATGACTTGAATATCGTATCACATTGTCCTTTTGCAAGCAGTTTTATCCTAGCCTGGTTAGTTGCCTTTTCTATAGTTAGAATGTTTAACATTTCACAAAATAATCCTATAACTGATAATTTAGAGATGTACCAGTAATGTCGATTGTGAGGAAATATGGCCAGGATCGACATGTCGTCGGTGGCGATGTCGATGTCCGCAAAATTACGTCCTGAGAAAAAGCCCAAGTCGAAAATGGGTATGCTTGGCCGTGAACGATGCAGGTGAATACATCCTAAAATGAGGAACTCAAAAGAGCTCAGAATTTCATTTAAAGCAGTGAAGTTCCAATGGTCGAGAACTCCGCTGCAGGAATTTTCCACACCTTTGTTGTTTTCTTTATGTCTAATCCTAAGTTATGTGATAAACATGAGTTAATAGCTTAAGACAAATATTGGTAAGGCTAGTGTCAGTGCCTCGAACTACGATACGATGTTATATGCACTCCCCATGCCATAATGTCGTAATTGGATCAGTAGTTTATTACTTCACCGTAGCCGCTCGGCAAGGCTTCTTAGAGTTTTACGTTTGCATCCGGAAACCTGACAAAAGCAAACCAGTTTCAAGAATTATTATCATTCCTGCAGCAACCTAGTTACAACGATGCACAATTTCTTTCGACCTACAAAGGTAGTGTATATGCTGGCAAATCGAGAGCGGAATAACTACCTCACGAAAACTCCAGAGAATGTGACAAACTTCTCAACCAGCAACAAACCAGCTTCACTGTTCCGCCCACTAGGCACTCCCACATACGAAATCGCACGGTTAGACAACCGGTCAAGGACGATCAAATCTCAACTTGCATGTATCCTTGAAAGCGGACGAAAATAACATTTTCGAATGTTCATGCTAGCAGATGTTCAAGCTTTATTGAGGGTCACGTACCTCAAGTACTACGTGATCGCTTTGCCGGAACCCAAGTACGGCGATACCGACTGCTCTTATCATTGGCGCATAAGAAGAATTCCACAAAATTTTGTTGGCACAGGCTTGGTGATGTACTCATTTTCTATCCGTCACATTGGTTAATACGCCTCCTTCGTCGTAATTCGTTTTCAACCTCGGCGTCTAAAAATATCAGCGTCATCTATTGTATCCACAAATCAGGGCGGGCGACGATAGCTAATTAGCATTCGATAAATAACCGGAAGAAAGTGAAAATGTCTGTAAACATGTTGTCGAAGAGCTTAACTCCGGAGTATGAAAGGCCACCCTATATGAATATAGGGCCGGAAAATTGGTATATGGGACCAAAGAAGAAGTGAAGTGAAGAATACGAAGGATATGAAATTGATGAGGGGAAAAGTTACCAATCCATTCTACTTTACAACCATAGTGGATGACCTAAAAAGCTCCTCTGGAGAAAAAGACCGAATCGCGAGCAAAAATGAAGAGTAGCAGAGCTCCAAGGCCACGCGACATCACTGCTTATTGCCTTGGAGCTAGAAGCCACAAACTATACGTACTTTTCGCAACCTGCATGGCAGTATATCTTCAAAAGGAAGAGAGATATCAGACTGGGGAATCCAATCCAAAAATTGTCCAACACAACTACGATAATTGAAGGAATCTTCGGAACTACGTCCTTAAATGTTTGTTGACGGGAAGTCTGTTGTATAAACAACATCCAATATACATCGGAAGCGAAACATAGATCGTCTGGTTACGTGAAAAGTTTGCGATAGATTAACAGGAAGGACAGTAGAGTGGACTATGAGAGGACGCGATCGTCCTTTGTGATGACAACACAAGTGGAACAGAGTGTCCTACACAGGTCTGTGAGTAGACGTGTTTGTAGGTAATCTCACTGATCTACATGCGCAGCTGAGAACGCTTTCTGGATTACAGAGTGAAGTATCCCGCAATGCATGAGATTGCAAAACCACAATGGTTGTCGGTTATTTCACCATGTTCGATACTGACTATTATCGTGAACAGTGAGAGAGAACGAAAGGAATGGAAAATACTCTGAGGCGCACGTAACTCATGCGTACAGTCTACCCGATTTTCCAGGTAAGCTACTGTGATTTTCGCGCCTACAAAACAAACACAACAGTGAACCGACTAGAAAGATCTAAAACACTTTGAAGCCCCTATTAGATTTTAGATTAATTGTCGCACCAATAATCAGCAACATTCCGAAGTTAATTTAATGTAAGATAGTAGGTTGGATATTAGCAAATCTAATATAAGTGTTAGCAACTTCCTATTGAGGACTTAGTATACAATGAATAGAGAAACTGTAAAGACTTCACAAAGGAGATGAATGAGCTGAATTGCAGCCACTGGCCAAGTCGGACCGCCGCTCACCTGTCCGTTGCCAGATGGTGCCGGCTACCAGGTGGTGCTACGAAGCAGTTCACTCCATCACCTCGAAGCAGCTCCTCCAGTGTTCTGTTCTTCGCAAACGGATGACTGTAAGACCGGTTATGAATGTATAAAGGGGCTGTCCCTCGTTGGAGAAAGTGGCGGAGTCTGCTGTCCGGATCCAAGTGGGTAGACATGGCATCGCTCCTATATTTTTCTCGCTCATTCTTTTGAAAATGTTCTCTCTCTTTTCCCCTCTCTATCTATCCCTCTTGTTGAATAATTGTCTAATATTGAACGTGTAAAAAATACAGGCATGAATTTTACATGAGGAAATAGGAGTGAAGGGAAATAGTGGGACGTTACGAAAAAAATGAGAAAGAATACGACCGTGACAACTGTAGACAGGAAACTTCAACTCTATCCATCTTAAATTCATCGAAACGGAAGAAATAGAAATATTCGTAGACATTTGTACTTACTTTACATTTACTGGATATCTTAATAATGTAGTCGTGATCTAGTCCTCCCTTAGACCGAGAAATAACAAAACATGAAGCATAATAACCTAAACACCTAGAATTATAGCGACAACCTGCACCCAACCGATCTTCGATCATGAATCGGGCACGCTGAATCGGTGGGGATTCAATGGAACGGAATGTGTGGAATTCAAGTGGGATCCAGAAAAGCCATCATCAGCGAACAATTTCAAGACACAGATGCTATGTGAGAGTTACTGCATAAATATATCCTCTTACATGTTTTAGTGAAGGGATACAGTGAAAGAAGCAAAAATACGAACCATAAACGAGGTTTGCAAACACATTTATTATACAATTTATATATTATATTAACGATTTATATAAACATAAACATTTATATATTATATTAACGATTAATAAACGATCATTAGAAAACTAGTAGACTAGCACCTGTCTCAGGTGAAACGAATGACCCGCATGGTGTGGTGGTGAACCCGCTAGCCCTCGGAGGGGGTAATAGCGCGTTCGATTCCCATCGCAGACACCTGCGGACCAGAGTTTTGCAAATATCTCAGCATCACCTTGAATAAACGATTGTTTAGGAAAATTTTCTCCACTGGAGTTAGGTGAAGGAAGAGAAAGAGTACAACCACTACATTCGAATGCCTAACAACTAATGAGAGCATTATTTTCGAAACAGTACTATATAAATAATCTACCCTTAGAAGAAATATCTTAGTCGTTGAAAAACTAATACGAAAAGAACGAAGACATACGTAATTTAACTACTTCTTGCACGGCGAATCAAGGATTATTCCAGGATTTCTAACTTAAAGAGCGAAAAAAGCACTTTTGAGAAAGAACAACATGAATGGGACGCAAAATCCGGTCAAAGCACGACTTCTCATGAAACGAACAAAAACACCTGGAACATAAAAACAATAAGGAAACAAAATGTGGCAAACAAAATGACGGAGCGAGACGAGAGTTCTACATAATCGGTTCAAAGAGAATTCAAAGCTGAAGCAGAGTCGTGGTGATGCAATGAGTCAGATGTACGAAAGTACGAACTGGCAGTAGGCTAAAGAGTCATCCGATCTGTGCTACAATACCAGAGCATAATTAAACGGATAAATGCTATATTATCGACAAAACAAATTTGCTGCCTCCTTCACCTTTTCGGAAATTATCGAGTTATTGTAAATATTCAAGCTCCTTACTACATAAGGCCTTATTAATCAGAGCAAATGCGAAATCCCAGAAACAACTTGACGTCTTCGCAAAGTGCATTGATTTTAATTCACACGTCGTGGGGTTTTCCAGCTATATGTACTGATTTCGATCGATTTTCTCTATATGTACTGGTTTCGATCGATTTTCCCTGCAAACATTTCAATCGACTCCAATTTTTACAGTATTTTTTATCGAGCGCTTGTACTGAACAAATGCTGAAGACGGAGCGGTTCAAAAATAGTTGTTTTCCACGATTATAATTTGCCGAAGTCAATTATAATAGAGGGTGGAGGACAAAGATAGAGGAAAGGATATAATGAGGACTTTTGGCCTCGATCAATCCCTAAAGAATGCGGAGTGCAAATGTGTAATCAAGTTCCGCAAGCGTCGTTATAGAAGGCCGAATGCATACCTGGCACTGGTTCGCAGTGGCCTACCGATGTATCAAATCAGATACTGCTTTCCTCTAAGACAAGTCTAGTACCAGTTTGCCGACTCCAAAAGGATGGAACGCTCGGTAAGGGCTGGGCGCGAGATCGAACCAAATACGTGTATGTTGTCGGGCACCCATAGCCACTGCGTTGACAACGTCTTATCAAAAACAGTTACTGGAACGACTTCATTCTATGACTCTTAGGTCGATTACCTACAATTTTTACCAAGGCAACGTAGAAAATACATCAACATTACCAAGAATCTCTTGCTTATTGTAGGGAATAAAAATTGTCGTTGATGATGAATATAATAAGACCTTCCTGTTGTGGGGATATTCCGGACCATGCTCATTGAATTCGGTGCGTAATGGAGATGGCAAAAAATTAGGTGACGTTACATGTAGCCACGAATAAAAATTGAGCTCGTCGCAAATGTGAGTAGCTTAAACGTCGACTGCGGAAATTTTGAAAACTCCGGGGTTACCTTTCCATCGTCATCATGTCCATCTTTTGTAACTGCACGTTTAAACGATATTCACTGGAAAGTGACCACTAATAAACGATCCTTGAAAACTAAAATAAGCACTATAAGTGAGAAGCAAAGGCCCTCCTTCCAGAATTTGTTTCTCTGTCATATGCGACATAAATTGGGAAACGCCAAATACTCCAATTTTATAATAAATAATTATTCAAACAGTTCTACTGACCACTAGCAGAGCTGGTCTTCGATGCAATGTTAAATAACTCTTAATTGGGTAGAGGCTTCTTAGTCTTTCCATTTGCAGAACCAGCACTTCAAACACAACACTTCGTCTCCTGAAGCATAGAATTCGGGGTAAAAGAAACGACTTTTGAATAGAATGCGCCTAAAGCACATGCAAATATTTCCAACTCGCAGTGAATTTATGGCTAAAGTCACATGTTTCTCTTAGAACTGTTCTTACTGTCTTCATATCCTTCTAGTTTCATAAAGCTTAATTCAGTCGATCCCTTTATTCGCACAAGCATCTTGGACGTGCGATAGGCATACTTCTTTCTAAAGGCTGTTCCATTAAAGTTGTATTTACTATTATGTTAATCTCCTTCATTGGTACCGGATCTGCCTGGGAAAAAAATCACTCTCTGCAATCCAAATGAGAAAGCGCCAGTCCGGATATCCCGGATATCTTACGACACCAGGGAGAACTGCTCAACCACAATTCTACGAGTTTCAAAATGTAATGGAAATCCTCAAGCAGGAACCGAAGCCGCACTTAAAAGTTGGAAGATCTTTATGGGCGGTGGATGCGAGGAAACGAATCGAATGAGAGAAGTGCTGCGTTTCGCACACTAGACGTAAAGACGGATTCTTCAATGGCTACACGCGGTTGTTACAACATTTCGACGTGTTGCTATTGTTGTGATCGACCTCACAGATGCAGCTGAAGCATTTTGTTCCGTTGTTTTCTTTTCTTCTTAACAGTACTCGTTTTTAAGAACTCTTTAAAACTGCCTAGTTACAATGTATAACTTTTAATCTACCAACTATTATTTATTTATGACAGGGTATTATGTAAAGTACAACCACGATGATTCTCAGATTTTTGCAAAAACCAGATCCCAGACCAGATTTAAACACTTGATTCCAGACCAGATTCAAACACATTCAAACACGTGTACTCACTGCACTATTGGGTCCATCGTTTTACTTCACTTTGCTTTAATGCTTGCAAATATCTTATTTACACAATTAATTCATGCTATGGTGGAGTACTAGAGGAGCAGTGGCTAAAGATCGTATGCGAAAATAAGCGTGAAGTCGTGGTTTCTACAATATCCCATCGCGAACATGTCATCTCATCCATTGGGAATCCAAAGAGCATCAGCACGATCAGAATTCAACAGCATTCATGAGGTAGATAAACTTCTCCAGTAGCAGCTAGACTCACATACAAACTCAAAGACCTTTGTGGATGACAGAGTGAGAGCATCAATATGATACATCTGTTGTTTTCTGCATAAATCGATTTATTCACAATATTTATAAGCAACAGTTTGTTAAAATGAATTTCAACCTCTTAATATGCTATAAAATTCTCCAGACTTGACGGCACGGTAATATGTGGTTACTATTGAACATACTACGAGTGGTCCTTAGTTTCATTTCTTTAAAAGTATGATGATGAATCCAGTAGAATACAAACAAGTAAGAAAATGTAAAAGAATGAAACAATCTGCACAAGATGCATATTGGTGTAGGAACTACTATCCTCCATCAGGAGTGTAGCGTAGAGACCATCTGAGTCTGAATAAACAACGACACGAATTTGTTCCCTCATCCGTGATTTTGACGAATACAAAGTACCTGGATGTTTAGTCGTCGTCTTCGTCGATTCAGTTGTTGTTCCAACTAAATGGCTTAGTTGTCCTATCTCCACTGCGTGTTCTGAAAGCAGTTGCGCACTGATGAGTGCGACGGAGAACTCAGCATCGAACTCTTAAGAACTGTGTTGATATCACAACGATGCTGAGATATTTACAAGACTCTGGACCGCAGGTGTCTATGGTGGAGAACAAACGCGCTATTGACCTTTCCGGGTGCTCTTTGTTCTCTTCCGAGCATCCTCGATGCTCCTGAAAGCACCGCAAGCCGCTCGATTCATTCTGCTCAGCTCTGGAGCTAAGTCGTTCATCATATTGTTTTCCCGACCTAGACAGGCATAGCTGGAGCATTCAGAGATAATCGTTCCGTTGAGCGTGAATGGGTCATACGAAACCGTTCCCTCATGAACATGGTTTTTGTGAGATTTAGTCGAAGACTAATCTTTCCACAGGCTCTACCGAAGTCGTCAAGCATACGTTTCGTTTGACTAATATTTGGTGTTATAAGGACGATGCCATCAGCAAAGCAAAGATGGTGTAACTGTCTACCGTCGATTTTCGCTCCCATACTATCCCATTCCAATGTTCTCATGACGTTCTGGAGGGTGGCGGTAAACAATTTTGGCGAGATGGTATCGCCTTGCCTAATTCCTCTTTTGACGTTAATGTTAATATCGTTGTAGAATGGTGATATCTTGATTGTGAAATTTTTGTACAGCTCAGAATCTTTATGTACTGAGTTCCTTGACTATCAAGGGCTTACATGACTGGTACTATCTCATTTGAGCAGAAATTCTCCTTTAAATCGATGAAACTGAGACAGAGTGGTCTTTTGTACTCTCGCGATACCAAGCAGTAAGCAATATACTTAATAATAGATTAGCAAAAATGCCATGCATCACAACTTCGCACTTGATTTCATCAGCTTTGTTGAAGCACAGTTCTTATATATCTGCAGGAAGACCACTGAGCCGATGGTCAGAGTTCTTCACGAAGAGCCTAGAAGAAAGATATGAAACTCGACGAGTCCTTCTCAACAGCCAACTAATGAATTGAATAAGTCCCAGTTTACGGTGGTTCTGAGACTTCAGTTTTGGAATTAACGGCTTTTTCTCCTTTCCATGAGAAATAGAATCTTGCACGAAGGAGTCGATGGTCTGATTCCGTGTAGAATTTTGAGACAATAGCGATATCGGCTAGGCAAACCTTCTATTTACTATGATGTGGTCTATTTCTTTATGGTACTCTCCATTGTGA